AGAGGAACTGGCTGGCCCCTGCGTGAGACAGGATGCTGGACTAGATGGACCCTCACTGGTCTGATCCAGCAGAGCTCTTCTGATGTTCTCATCTAGGTCGGGGTAGTGTTTTTTAGGTCTCTCTAGTTGACACACTCACCCGGGAACACACAAGCACTCCCAGTCAGGTGAGCCAGACCTCAGCCTGAGTTTTTAGGCAGAGTCTCCGAAGGAATCCATCGTGTCGCAGACTTGAAGTGCGAGAGGGCGAGTGTGCGTGAATTTTAACGGCAGGCTCCCAGGTGCGAGAAGAGGCAGGAACGCCGCACTCCTAATTTGACGGGGGGATTCCGCGCGGCAGCGGCAGAGCTCAGGAAAAGGGCTCTTCACTCTAACCTCATTTGAGTGATCATCTTTTGTTTGCATTACGGCAGCTCTCAAGATGACAGCTATCAAATCAGATTACCGGATGCCGCTGACGGTGACGCTCACCAAAAATGAACTGCCAGAGAAATCAAAAGCACAGGAGGACCGTTCCGGTCGGCTGACTTCATGGGGGGATGGAGGGAGAGCAGCTTTTATTTCCCGCATTTATTTTGGTCCACCGTTACTTCTGGTCGAACAGGATATTTTTTAAAGCAGGTTTCTGGGAGGGGGAATTTTTAAAAAAAACAGAAATGGGATGGACCAGAGGTCATTTCGAGGGGGATCGCGGGGGATCGCCGTTCCCCCGGGTGAGGCACGGGGGCGGGAAGAGGGAGGGTAAGTTGCTTCCTCCCTGCCTCTCCCCACCCCTGCCTGCCTGGGGCCAGGGAGGGCCTTCGCGGGGCTTCCTTGCACTCCCGCCGGCCTTGCAGGTCCACCGCCGGGCCCCTCATGGGGCTCGGCAGTGGAGCTGCAAGGCCGGCAGTGGCGGCCGGGACCGTTGGGGGCGGGCTGTGTGGCCTTATGACACTCTTCCGGTGATGTCAGAGGGTGCGGCATATGCTAATGAGTTATGCTAATGAGTTCCCCTAGCTCTTTTTCTACGAAACGACCCCTGGGATGGACGAGCAGACCACGAGCCATGAGCTCTTTTTCAAGCTCCCTGAAACAATTGTCAGACTGCAGTCCAAAGTGTATGTGGTTTTTTTTAAAAAATAATCTATATTTCATCTGTGACAGAGGTCACAGGGCGTAATGTCACAGACCTCAGCCTCCAATGCAGCCATTTTCTCCAGGGGATCTGATCTCTGTCAGCTGGAGATCAGTTGTAAAAGCGGGAGATCTAGGGAACCCCCGCCCCCCCCCCGAAGCGCAGAGTGGCTGCGTCACCAGAGGTGATGCAACCATGTAGAGCTCGTTGGGGGCGTGGCCCCAACGTGCTCTACGTCGTGCGTCACTTCCTGTGACGTCCTGGCGGTGCGCATGCACACACATCCAGCGGCAGCTCCCGGAGCCTCAAGAAACTCCCCCGCTGGTGAGTACTCAACGACTTGGCAACCCTAGGGAGATCCCCAGGCCCCACCTGGAGGTTCAGCAACAAGCACACAGGAAACATGGCTAAGTTAGGTAAACACAGAAAACACCGTGTTAAAATAATAAACACAATATTCACATGCACTTATAGCTAAATATATTTGTTTTCTATACACAACATCAACTCTAGTGTATTGTAAAAACTTTCAAACGACAACATCACATGGGAAAGTATATCTACTAGGCTTGCTGGCTAAGCTGAATCATCACAGTGAGAAATAGAAGCTGCCTGCTAGCTTTACCCGATGGATCATCACTTGGGAAATGTACAGGGGTCATTTGGGGGGGGACGCGGGGGGACGCCATCCCCTTGGGTGAGGTGCGGGAGGTTGGGGCCTGGAGCTCCCTGCTGGTGCCTGCTGGTGCCCACTAAGCCAATGCCTTCCTGACAAACCGTCTCCGGCCGCCTCCTTCAGAGCAAAAGTGAGGGGGCCAGGCACACCTCCACAGGTAGGCTGCTCCATAAGCGTGGGGCGGCCACTGAAAAGGCCCTCTCTACAGTGCCCCCAAACAAGAGGCGCCAGGGACCAGCGACACAGGGCAATCCCTTGCCGAGATGTCTCCCTGCCAGCCGCGTTCGTAAACAGGGTGCCCAACCAGATGGGCCCTGGGCCGGATCGAGCAGCACGTGGATTTAAGTCCAGGACTCCCCCATCCGGTCCCACAAATTGGTTTTTCCTCGAAAGAGTGGTCCTAACAAAAAACTGTGCCGTGCTGTGCCTGACCCCCAACCCCCATTCCAAACTGTGGATATACACACATACACACACACACAAACATACACCCGAGCTGGCTGGGGGTGGACTGGAGCCCCCAAAAGCGGGGGGACCCCCCCCAGGCCCAGAGGCTGGCAACCAGTGTTCCCTCTAAGCTGAGTTGGTGTGAGCCAGCTCACAGTCTTTTAGCCTCCGGCTCACACATTTCTGTCTTAGCTCAGGAAGGAGGGCTCCAGAGCAGACTAATTTATGCAGCAGCCAAATTGCTCACTCACAACTTGAATGCCAGGAGCCCACAAAGTAGAATTTCTGCTCACAGAACTCCACAGCTTAGAGGGAACACTGCTGGCAATAGGGCTGCCAAATCCCCCCAGGGGGCAGAAATCCCCCCGCCCCAGAGGCCCGTTCCCAGATGCCGGGGAATCGGGCCCCGGGGGGAACCCCGCCCCAGCATGCACGTCACAGGGAAGTGACGTTATGACGCCGGGCACGCTGGGGGTGGGGCCACGGCCATACAAGGGAAAACTCTATGGTTTTCCCTTGGATGGTCGTGGCCCCGCCCCCAGCATGACCAGCATCATGACATCACTTCCCTGTGATGTGCATGCGGCGCGCGTGCACTCTCTGGGAGCCGCGCAGGAGTCCCCCGCCGGAGAGGTGAGTACCATTTGGCAACCCTAGCTGGCAACCCTATTTAGTTTTTTAGGCGCTCCTGGTGGCCTAACTGGGATTTCCCTTCTTCCCCCCCCCTCCCCACAGCCTTCACGGTGGGCCTCACCACGGCCTAGGGTTGCCGGCCTACAGTTGGGGCTAAGGGTACCAGCTCCGGGTTGGGGAATTGTGGGCGGAGCCTGGGGAAGGTTGGGTTTGGGGAGGGAAGGGCCTCAACAGGATGTGTAATATCACAGGGTCCACCCGCCAAAGCAGCCGTTTTCCCTCCAGGGGAACTGATCTCTGTCATCTGGCTATCAGTCTGAATTCCGGGAAATCTCCAGGCCCTACCTGGAGGCTGGCAAGCGCGGATGTGGCCTGGAGAATTATCGGAATCACAACTGATCTCCAGGCTATATAGATACAGTTCTTCTTGAGGAAATGGTTACCTCGGGAGGTGAAGAGGTTTTACTCCACAGAGGTCCCCCTTCCCTCCCTAGACCCCCCAAATCGTCAAGAACTTCCCACTCCAGAGCTGGTAACCCTCACGACACCCAGCAAGTGTCGTGGCTAGGGTTGCCAGCCTACAGGGGGCACCTGGAGATCCCCTGCTGCTACAATTGATCTCCAGCTGACCAAGAGCAGTTCTCCTGGAGAAAATGGCCGCTTTGGAGGCTGGACTCTATGGCATTATACCCTGCTGAGGTCCCACCCCTTCTCAAACCCCGCCCTCCCCAGGCTCCAATCCCCAAATCTCCAGGTATTTCCCAACGCGTAGCTGGCAACCCTAGTCATGACTGAGCAAGGACATAAAGCAAGTCTCTGGCCCTCGCTCAGCAACAACTATTCTACTATGCTGGCTTCCTTAAAGGAGAAGAGGAGCTGCTACTCAGTTGCTACGGACGAGAAGGTTCCACGGTTCAGTCTCCAGGAAAACGGTGACCTCTGCCTGAGACTCGGTAGAGACACCGCTGATCAGAAGAGACAACTCTGACCTAGATAGAACAAGGGTCTGACTCAGGAGAAGACAGGCTCCATGTGATAGTCTGGAGACAAATGAAGATCAGTCAATTTTTATGCAACCCGGGTTATACCCAAGTACCATTGGTTTTGGAACCTGCCCAGATGAATTGTAATGTTACCATCATATATTCCCTTAACCAGGGCTATTTTTGGGCAGGAACGCACAGGAACGGAGTTCCGGCTGGCTCCCAAGTTGGCCGCACCCAGCAGGAACTCCTTAGCATAATAGGCCACACCCAACAGCAGGCACTCATTGGAATTGGCTACATTAGGGGTTTGTGGCCTAACATGCAAAGGAGTTCCTGCTACAAAAAAAGGCCCTCGGTTTTGACAACAAACAAGGTAAGCAGAATAAGAAGCAAAAGGTGGGTGTGGCTGGATAACCAACTTCTGGTAACACAGGGGTGTGGCCTAATATGCTAATGGGCCATGCTGTCATGGGTGTGGCCTAATATGCTAATGGGTTTATGCTGTTGGGTATGGCCTATTATTCTAATGAGTTCCTGCTGGGCTTTTTCTACAAAAAAAGCCCTGCCCTTAACTATACTATCTCGTGTAAGCAACCAGGGTCGATAGAAAGGAAAATCAAGCGTTTCCACTTCAGAAACTGGTCTTTGTGAAGGCTTCATAAATGTACAGAACAGCCAGTAGGTTAGCAAAGAAGCAAGAGTCCTTAACACGGCTGTCGGGACTAGCAGAACCAGTCACAGGTTGTGCCAGAAATCCACCTCTTCTCCATATTATCAACCACAAGCGACATCTGTCTCTCAAGAACCTCCCAAAAAGTTCGAACAAACCAGGTGCCATTTTGACTGTAATAACCTGATGGCCCAGTTTCACGCTGTTTCCATATAAACCTCGGCATTTTTTTTATTCCCCAAAGCTAAGAAGTCTGTACGGCAGAGAGAAGAACTGAGATCGGGAGAAATTGGACCGTGTAGGACCTCTTTCATCACCTTCACACCTTCAACAGCCCCTTAACTGGTACACACATATTCAGTTTTCTCTTTCTTGCAGTCCTTAGATAAGAGCAGACTATAAATCGAAATTAATCAATACCTGAGAAAAATACCCTGCATGTTTAGTTCAATTAGTCAAGGAAACCGTTCTTACCTGAGTGTTCCACGCTCACCTCCTACCCCACAGGAGCTGATGTCTAGGCCCTTCGTAGCTTCACATAACAAAATGTATTGTCCTGCAATGACAAAAAAGCACAGTGTTACGAAGCAGTGATAAGAGTCTTTATAAGCCTATGACATTAATGCTGAGCAAGACATAAATCTCACAATCCGAAAACTGAGAGCTTCCACAGAATCCTAAAATACTCTGAGCTCGTTTAACATGGGTGAATTTGACTTCATGGGAAGGTATCGTTATGGATTCCAGAAGGCAAGGAAGTAGAACTTCCTCAATGAGTACGAGAAATCGTCTCTTTCACTATGGACACTGTTGGGTCACCTCATGTTCAGCAAATCTGTTCCTTGAGCCTTATGATTCCCCCCCCATGAAAACCCACCACACATTTCCGAAAAGACCACCACTAACCACCAAGTTTTAACTCTTCTTCTCTGAAACCTAGGGTTGCCAACTTGGTGACCGGAAAAAAGCCCACAGGAAAAAAGCCCACAGAAAAAAACCCATGGTCATAAATGCTCACAGGAAAAAAAACTACGTGGAAAACTGCCCACATGGAAATAAGCCCACACGGAAGAAAGCCTATATACATAAGTATAGTATCATAAGTGTAATGGTTTCAGATAGGTGTACAGTTCTTGTTTCTCCAAAGGTTCTGAAACAGATCGAGCCACAAGAACTCAATCTCCCGCCTTGTCACTTGGGCTCCTAACCTTCACACAGACATTTTCCTCACACTCCACGTCCAATGTTCCCTCTAATTTCTTTTCCCTACTAAGCAGAGCAGTTCACATCCTTTTTTTTTTTTTTTTAAACCCCCGGAGGGGTATTTTTTTTTCCAATAAGACTACAAACTACAAAGAAAAATATAGGAGGGGGAACTACAACTATGGATAAAGAAAAGATACCCACACTAGCTAAAAACCCAAGAGTGGGAGACCTCCTTTATGTTAAACTTAATATTAGTATTAAAAGAGTTAGCAAAACAATATACTGGTAGAGTTCTTGTTTTTCACATTGTTCTGTATTAGTAAATTAGTCATTATGAGAGAACTTTCTGAGCATCTTCTTTATTTCAAAGAGCCATTTATCAGAGTCCTTCTGCCCTTACTTCGGCTTTCTGTCTCTAAAATCATATACAGTTTTCATTGCTCCCGCAGAGCAGTTCACATCCTGAGCAGAATATAACCGCTGTAATCTTAAAATGGGCGATCCTGTGTTACTGAGCAGCTGTAGGGAACACTGTCCACAGCATTGCCAGCCATCTCTCTTCTCCCCATCCGCACGCACTCTACTAACTCTCCCCCACAAACCCTCTCTGAACCAGCTACTCTACTCCAGGGGTCATTTCGTAGAAAAAGAGCTAGGGGAACTCATTAGCATAACTCATTAGTATATGCCACACCCCCTGACATCAGGGGCCCGGCAGTAGACCTGCAAGGCCAGCGGGAAGCCCCGCCAAGGCCCTCCCTGGCCCCAGGCAGTCAGGGGTGGGGAGAGGCGGGGAGGAAGCAACTTACCCTCCCTCTTCTCCTGCCTCCTCCTGGCTGAATGAGGGCTGGAAGCAGGGCAGCCGGAAACAGGGGGCGGGGCTTCATCATGTGCCCCACCCCACTGCACCTCACCCGGGGGAACTGTGTTCCCCCGCGTTCCCCCCGAAATGACCTCTGCTCTACTCTGTCTCCGTCCCCCCAGTCTAGCTGCCCTGTGATCTTAGCACACTTCAATCACCCATCCAGCCCCCGCTTCTTCCTCTACAGTCCTGCATTGTAAAAGAGAAATCAAACACACACAGAATATTTATACAGTGAAAGCATTGCAATATAAACTATGCAAGGAACAAATTTAAGAAATTCAGCAAACTGGAGAAAGAATGCAAATTAAGTCTATGTTTGCAAATTTCCCCACTGATAAAAATTATCCTGGTAAATAGATGCAAGGTCAATTACTAAAATAATGTGGGTTCCTCCAAATGCTACTAGAGATAAAGATGAAATGCAACACAGAAAAGGGGTTGCCAACCTCCAGGTGGTGGGTGCAGCTGTCAAAATGACAACTGGTCTCCACGCTACAGAGATCAGTTCCTGTGGAGAAAACGGCTACTTCAGAAGTTGGTCTCTATGGCAAGTTTGGTGTAGTGGTTAGGAGTGCGGACCCTTATCTGGGAGAACCAGGTTTGAGTCCCCACTCCTCCATTTGCAGCTGCTGGATGACCTTGGGCAAGCCATAGTTCTGACAAGAGCTCTCAAGGGCAGTCCTTGAAAGAGCTCTCTCTGCCCCGCCTACCTCCCAGGGTGTCTGTTGTGGGGAGGGGAAGTGAAAGGAGATTGTAAGCCGCTCTGAGACTCCTTTGGGTAGTGAAGGTAAAGGTAAAGGTTTCTCTTGCTCAAAAGCCAGTCGAATCCGACTCTAGGGTTGCGGTGCTCATCTCCGTTTCCAAGCCGAAGAGCCAGCGCTGTCCGAAGACGTTTCCGTGGTCATGTGGCCGGCATGACTAAACACCAAGGCGCACGGAATGCTGTTACCTTCCCACCGAAGTGGTACCTATTGATCTACTTGCAATGTCTTGCTTTTGAACTGGGTGGGGTTTAAATCCAATCTCCTCCTCTTCTTCTTCTTCTTCATACACTTCTGAAGTCCCTCCCCTCCCCAAATCCCGCCCTCTCCAGGCTCCACCCCCCAAATCTCCCGGAAGGTTCCAACCCAGAGCTGGCAACCTGACCTAGAAACCTCAGCAGATCTAACACTAAGAACGTAACTCCTGGCTTGTGCTCTTACATTCTAAATCTTTTTTGGTACACAACATCAGCCAAGCTGCTTCACTGAAGTAGCAAACTGCGTATGTCTCTCAAGACATCAAAATATAGTAATAAAAGGTAATTACTAGGTCAACTGTAACTCAACAAAAAAAAAATCAGGACAAAATGCCAATCTACCCACACTATTATTATTTCACAAATTAATACTGCAACCCGCAATGTGGGGTGAAACATTTCCCTTCCTTAATTGTTTCATAAAATTAACAACAATGGATGGATGCCATCGCCAATACAATAGCAGGGAAGGCTTGGCACCTTTCAAGTTGTAATTAATCCTTCTCAGGTGATTATCCACAAGAACTGCGTGAGAGCGTACTCTTTTTTTTTTTAAAGGTTTTAAAACCGGGGGGAGGGGAGGGGAAGGACAAAACCACAAATACATAAAACAATCCATTTTTTTTAAAAAAAAGTAATGAATTTGCATGGTTGGCTATGCAGGTCAAATCAAAACTATAGCTAAACATAAAAAAGCTATATAAATCAAAACTACAGCTAAAATATAAAATAAAAAGAAGCAGGGCCCGTGATACCGCGGGGGGGGGGGAATATTCCTAAAGGCTCCCGGCCTGCAGAAGCAGCTCTGCAGGTAAGCCTTCTCTTTCCCCCCCTGGACCCCGGTGGTGAAGCCTGAGTTCCTCCCAGCCACAGGGTCCGCTGATTCCCCCCCAGGCACCAGTGGCAATTATTCGGTGACAGCAGCAAAACTACAAGACAAGACCCCAGAGCTGCAGCTATGTTAAATAGCATGCAGTTGCCACACCCAAACACACCCCACTCCCCGTGATAGGCTATTTACATAACATTACTACTTGATTGGTTTATTCCAGAGTCCTGGTCGGCTATTGTTCTTGTGCTCCAAGCTCAGCCAGTCTCTGGGATGATTCAATCAGGGGTGATTAAATCCCAGTACATAACAGAATGGCTGGCCTCCTTTGGGAGTGAGTGGTAGTCAGGGCTCTTTTTGTAGAAAAAGCCCAGCAGGAACTCATTAGCATAATAGGCCACACCCAACAGCAGGAACGTATTAGTGTATTGGGCCACACCCCTGACAGCACAGCTCATTAGCACATTAGGCCACACCCCCATGTTACCAGAAGTGTGGTCATCCAGCCACACCCACCTTTTGCTTGTTATTCTGTTTACCTTGCTTGTTGTCCAAACCCAGGGCTTTTTTTGTAGCAGGAACTCCTTTGCATAGGCCACACACCTGTAATGTAGCCAATTCTAGTGAGTTCCTGCTGTTGGGTGTGGCCTATTATGCTAATGAGTTCCTGCTGGGCGTGGCCAACTTGGGAGCCACCCGGAACTCCATTCCTGTGCGTTCCTGCCCAAAAATAGCCCTGTATAGATTATATAAATAGCTCTTCTCACACGGTGCGAGGGAAACTGTAATCACCAGTCTGATATGGAACTAAGAAGTCATGCTAAAGATGATGTGTGTAAAGTGCTTGTCAGGCTGTACAACTGATTTATGGTGACTCCAGCAAGGGGCTTTCAAGGCCAAGGAGAAGCAGAGGTGGTTGGCCATGGCCTTCCTCTGCAGAGTCTTCCTTGATGGTCTCCCTCCTCCCAAGTGCGGACCTTACTTAGCTTCTGAGATCTAATGAGATCAGGTTACACCATTCTGCCTTTCCGCCCCACTAAAGATGATACAGAATGTGAAAGTGAAACAGGGGTGCACCGGTGAACTTCCTGGAAGAGAATCAAAAATCTCTGGAAACAGGTGAATGGACAATAGGGTTAAACCACAGAGTTTGTGCCAAATGCTAGACTATCATTGTCCACCCAAGGATATGTATTTTTCTTTCTTTAAGAACACAGGAGAATGGATTATTATGTCTTGCAGAGTAACTGAAAGGCCCAGATGGGCGTAGGATGACTACTTGAGGTGGCTTGAGGAAGCTTTTCAATTATATTGTGGCACAAAAACCAAACAAAAAAGCATGAGCCATGCTATTCCTTGGGAACAGGTGTTCCCTCAATCTCGATGGTCTTTGCCATAGTGATTGGAGGAATTCCTAGAGCGTCACTCATTGCAGTGATGTCCAGTGTTTCCCTCTAAGCTGAGTTAATGTGAGCTAGCTCACAGTTTTTTAGCCTCTGGATCACACAGTTTTGTCTTAGCTCAGGAAGGAGGGCTCCAGAGCCAACTAATGTATGAAGCAGCCCAATCACTCGCGCACAACTTTAATGCCAGGAGCTCACAAAGTAGAATTTTTGCTCACAAGACTCCACAGCTTAG